ATATATATATATATATGTGTGTGTGTATATACTGTATATATGTATGAGCCTTGAAGTGCAGGACAAATATGCAACTAAGTAGTGTTTGAAGCACTGTGGTATAGTGTAGAATCTTATCCGTTCTCTGGGACTCAGACAAACATCTTTATGGACACATTGTTTGTGTTTGACTTATTTAAATATCACAAACCATTAAGTATAAAGTTAGGCACACAGGTGCAAAGTTGATGAAAATTAAAAAAAACTGGAATATTTTGGGGTTTCGGATCTGGTATGTACACTATACATGAGGTAATAGTGTTTAGTAAAAGATCAACGATACTATTTTTATAGTCATATCTTTGTTGAATCATTTCAAGTAAATTGCATTTCAGTGTCCCAGAGGACACCCTCAAAACAGGCCCTCGAACCACTGGTTCCCATTGCAAAGTGCTGTCCCGAATTGTTTTCCTGCTGACCGATGACAGGTTGATCCTCTGTGATACCTCCTATTCAGCATGTTCATCTGTTGTGCTGTGAGTCAGCAGACGGGGTATTAGAGTTGTGGTGTGGGACTCAGGGTCCACCTTCACATGGGCTGCTTTTATTTCCGACCTTTTAAATCCTGCTGGACCCAAAACCGCGTAGGTCAGTACATATTTGTGTCCACATGGATTTATTCTAAAGATATCATATATTTCAGTCGGTCTAGACTCTAAAGCTTCATTGTCAGATGATCCTTGTATGATTGTGAGTGTTTGGAGGAATTAATATGAGGATGTGGTAGCATTCTCCTGGAGAGGACGCAGATGCAGTTTGGAAATAGGGATCATCTTACAATGGGATCAGACCATCTGCGAGATGAGCCAGGGGCGGGGGGGCTCTTTTTGCCCAGGCCGCAGCTTTCTTCAAACTTGGCCATCATTTTGATCTCAACTACACACCTGCAAAGCTTTTTCACTGCATCTTGCACGTTTGTGATGCTCCCACGATGACCGCATCTGTCCACTGCCAGAAATATAAGCGCCTTGCAAAGTCTCATGGCACACACACACACACAGACAATACCACTGGCTGGCGACGAACCAATGCCTGATTCGAGAGGGTGGATGGGATCCAGACAGCCTGATAGAAACTGCAGCAGAGACAATTTATTGAACTAACTATAGCTGTTTCTTGTTTCTGCAGGCTCAGCCTTCTCTGTTTAAGCTGTGATCATGGGCAAGAACCTGCTGAAGAATCCCAGCGGGGAAGGTAAGAGGTTATTTTCTTCATCTGCAACTAAGTAACTGGATCAGGGGTGCTTCTAGTCTACGGCCTGCCACATGGGAGGAAAAGGAGTTTTTGTGACTGAAAATATTATATGTGTACCTAAGCTGTAAAAATCCAATCAGATGGTTTCTAAATCCAGGTTTTCTAGTGCGGTGTCTTATTCGCCTCACTGTGGTGTCCTAAGCCGCCATGTGCTTATTACTGCGGCCGGAAAACACCCACTGGTACTTGACAGTTGGCGAGAACTGCAGTTGTAGAGGGCGTTTTTACTTCCAATGGCCACAAGTGGCAACAATGAGCCCATTCCAAACTCGCAAGATTCATGATTTATCTGAAGTGAACAGTATTTTTCATGAAAAAAGACTGAAACGATGAAGACTCACTGGTTGGTTTGGAAAACGTGTGTCAGGCTAAGTAACCCCCCCCCCCCCCCCACTCTGAATAAGAGTGTTTCTATGGGGAGCATCTGAGACCGTCTCCCTGCAGTGGGGGCTATGTTCTGATAAAGATCTGGACGGGTCAGTGGCTACAAAAGGTCGGTGTCGGCCACTATTTTTATTTGCAAATAAAAATATATTTCAAAGTGGCCAAACATCCACCTACTAATCTGGGCGCATGAGTCTGCACACAAACAGGCTACATTCAAGAACGTCTGACTGTAAATAGATTAGCATTGATTGCTCTTCACTGCATCAACCACGCTGGGCTCCACACAGAGCTGAAGCTGGGCTCGGCCCGAAAGAAACACTTCAACATTGTTCACGATTCACGTTATTTACAAGATGGATACCACTTTTATGTCTGTATATTAAATACAAGGCAATACCATCAGGCGACAGTTAGCTTAGCTTAGCACGAAGACTGGAAACAATGGGAAACAGCGTCCAAAAGTAGTAAAACTTGCTGATTTACCATGTCCTGGTTGTAACCTACATTTAACAGAGTTGTATCTATCTGCTTATATAAGTCTTGGCCAGAAAGTGAGGTATTACCCCCCAAAACTATTCCTGAAAATACCCAAATCTAGCATACTGACAAAATAATCATGACCATCATAAGCTGCCCCTTGAGATGAGGCCGACGCGCCTAAGAACAAAGCCAGTAAATGTAGCTTAAAATTACACTCCCAAAGTCAAGAATCAACTTTGACACTCCTGAGCCTCTTTTGTTGCTAGTCAAACTTAACTGAAACACAACACAGTACGGCTATTGGCAGTGCATTTCCCTCCCAGACCAGCTGGAGTTCTGGGAGCTGACGGAGAATGGTGGGAGTCAGTGGAAGGTGGAGGACATGCCGGGAGACTGCGGCTACGACTTCTGCATGGACGGAGTGACCACATACTTTGCAACTTCCTTTGAGTGAGTGTTTATTACTGTATGTAGTCACGTGACTATGTTTGAATACTGTAAATACAATGCGCTGCTCACCACAGCTACACGTATCTACGGACCTTCTGTATTCGTTTGTACATTTTTATAAGCTACTTTTCTAATCCTCCTAAGTACAACCTGCTTCAAAAGATTGGTATACATTGAAAAGGAATCTAGAAAAAAATGAAGTTGAACCTATAATCCCAAAGAATATGAATCTGTCATATTTATATTTTAGCAGATGGAAATGTTTCAATTATCTTTATTAGAGCTTACAAATACAGTTGGCATGAATATATTACCATAGTTGTTCTTGTTCTTATTATTTCACATTTGACCTATATCAATTATTTCAAATGAGTTTAAAATCATTTGATAGACTTTTGAATTCTTTCATATGGAATGGGAGGAAAATGAAGATCTTGAAGTTGGATGAATTTACCCAGTCTCCAAATGTATTATTATGCAGCTTGAATTCAAATATATGGTGGTATGGATCAATACGCAGTCACACGTTGGGGAGGAGTTAAGTGACAAGAGAACAGCTTAATAAAGACGTGATATTCACTGTTGAAAAATAATCAGTGTTTGAAGTACACTGTCTGAGAGAAATAAGAAAAGACTCACATTATACTCCAAAGTTAGCCAACGGGATTGTGTGTCAGAGTGATATATGTTTTTTAAATCAGCTTTAAAATTTAAAACTTAATTATGTTTACAGAACTCATGCAAAACCATGAAGCAAAATGTATGTTGAGAGGGAACTTACAAATAGCTGACTGAAGGTGGAAAAATAATGTATTTAAGTTTTCATTAAAGGCTGTCTTTGAGTTTGCTTTGCTTATATTATCACAAATATTGTCTTATTGTTGTTTCTTTGACAATAAAAAAAATAAAGTACAAGAAAAATATAGAATTTTCACAAATTATCCATTATTTATTATATATTTCAGTATGTTTAATTATTTCTCATCTATTTATTTCACCCAAAATCCTCCTGCTTTCTGAAACAAACAAATGTGTGTCCTATAGTCTGTGTCTGAAGAGACAGGTGATCGACCTGTTAGCGGAGGATTACTCCAGCGAACAGCTGGACGCTCAGCCGGCCGTGACAGTGGAAGATTGGTGAGACAGAGGTGGACTGACGTGCACGCACCTTCTGTAGGCAGCACTGGTCACTGGTTAACGGACGTCTTACTACGCAGGTACTGTGGGAGGACGGATTGTGGCTGCGCCTACCAAATGACCGTGTGTCTGCTGGATGAGAACCAAGAGGTCATACAGGAGTTCAAACCCGAGCCGGTGACTCTCGACCCTGACTCTGACGACTGCTCGTGGAAGCAGGTAGGCCTACACGGGGGGTGTTTACCTGAGGGGGGGACCTGAAGGTGGGTGGGGCCCTACGCTTCCATGACGATCAGCTGTAACCGCCGTACGAGCGCTGATAGCCAGTGGGACATGCTCACATGCACTATAAGGCTGTGTCGCCGGCCGGCTACGTAAACAAAGCATAGATAACAGTATACAGAGAGAGAGAGACTTCATTCTCTGCTTAGGCAGACGTCACTCCACTATATCTTTATATAGCGAAACGTTTGTTGATATATTAATGCTCTGAATAAAAACAGGGATCCTTTGAGGCGTATAGACCCATGTAAGGACACCCTGACACACTTGGGTCCACATGAACAAATCCTTCAAATTAAACAACAACATATGTTGTGTGTCCTGCTAAGACAACACATAGAGGCTGATCTGATGACCCTCTCAGCAGGGGTGGGAATCACCAGATACGATACCAGATATATTATCACGATACTTAGGTCACGATACGATATTGTCACGATACTTGGGTCACAATACGATATTATCACGATACTTAGGTCACGATACGATATTATCACGATACTGCGATATTATCATGATACTTAGGTCACGATACGATATTATCACGATACTGCGATATTATCACGATACTGCGATATTCTGAGTATTGTGATAACATAGGCCTATATTGCGATTTATTACTTTTTTCAACTTCAAATTATGTCCCCAAAGGAAAACTGTCAACATGTTTTATCTAATTAGATAAAGTTTTCAGTCTGTTCATCTCACTTCAATCATTTTTATTGCAGCAAAATAGGATTGTCAAGCAGACAGACTGACCAACAATGTCATAAATGTTGCACCTGACAAACTGAACCGTTTGTATTACTACACAGTCCAACTTAACTAAATGCAAACGTGTGGACTCAGTATATGAACTATAACTTATATAAGTAGGATATAAGAGTTATACAACTCAGTATAACTTGCGATGCGTGGACGTCAAGGGCATTGAGCCAGTTATGCGCTGCACTCTCCCCATGAGCCTGGCTACTGTTGGCAGATTTAACCCCGTTGTGAGGCCAGATGTCTCTATCTTTGTTTTGACCAACTTCCTACCAATCACGCTGACCCGGGACCTTTGCTGACCTCACCAGAAAATAACTCGGCACCATCTAGTGGACTGAAAAAGCAATTGATTTAATTTTTCAAGTAATTTTTTATTTTTTATTTTTTAAATAGTTTATATAACAAAAGATCGATACTTGGCGTCCGTGTATCGATACAATATCGCCACGCAAAATATCGCGATACTATGCTGTATCGATTTTTTTTCCCCACCCCTACTGGACATCATTTCTCTGCACCTTATAAAACCGTTACAAAATATAAATCTGTTTTATGACGTGACAACAGTTTAGGCACAAAAACAACTTGATTAGTTTTAGGGAAAGATCATGGTTTGGGTTTAGACCAAAAAACATCCAGAGGTTTAAACGGTCTAGGGACTTGTGATGGTGGTGGCCTGTTTTTTAAGGTACTGGTGAGACAACTAAATACAATACAGGAAGTAAACAGATTCATGTGTTTGTAGGCTTATAAGGCACCAAAACACAACAGATTTTTACAACCCTGGAAAATGATCATGGCGGCAACTATTTTATCTTTTCTCACGACGATCGCTAAGTCAATAGCACAAATTTGGCATCCTTGTTGCAAAGTAATCCTCCAGGAATGTGAGACGGGTTGCAGTATTTCGGCAGATATGTGAACTGTTAAGATGGTTGTCTGAGATGCTGTTTCGTTATGGTCTCTCATCCCCTTCCTGCCCTCTTGAGCTCTGGCTGGTTGACCTAAAACGCATCACTTTCAGTGCGCCAGCACGAGAAAGTCGCCACAGACACCACAACTCCGGACATACTGCAAAACAGAGCATTCCCAATCATCTAGATAGGCTTAATCAGCATTGCGTGAACTCGTTTCGCTGAGGCTTGAATGTAGCGGATGTTTATTTATATATAAAAGTCCCACACTGCAGCTTTAAGCTCCGAGAAACATCGTGGTTTGGGTTAAAATGACTACCACGTTCAGCTTTATGAATGACCGTTGTCATGATTGACACTGTCGTTTCTGTCATCCACAATAACACCGGACTGTACAGATCACTGTGGTTTTGTCTCTCTCTCTCTGTTTGAACTCCAGGTCAGCCATACATTCACCGACTATGGCCCTGGAATGCGTTTCATCACCTTTGAACATGGAGGACAAGACGCCAAGTTCTGGGACGGTTGGTTCGGAGTCCGAGTCACTGGGAGCACTGTTACGGTCGAGATATGAACGAGAGAAAGAGGGGGAGAAAGGAGGCGGCAATCAAGTAGTTATGAACACTGAAAGGTAGAGGAGGAAGAAGGAGAACTGGAGTAATGTAAAGACTCCAGGCTGGCGTGGAGGTCTCCAGGTTTCAAGAGGACCAGCTTTGCCTTGTGCACATAGCACCTCCGTATATCATGCATAATGCTGTTGCTGTGGAAACATACTGCTGCTATGAAGACTGTACTTACAAAAAAAAAATGGGGTCACTTTACTAACTTTGAAATATAACAATTACTGCTTGCAACACAGTCATTAATGGTCGGTTGGGTGGAGGTGGTGTAACACTCAGATTGGAATTAAAATGATGAAATAAATGTTCAACTACATCATTGCCTGTTTTGTTAAGTTGGAGCTTCGATTCGAAGAAGTGACTGTTATCTTTTACTCCCTTGCGAGCAGTGGTACATGTACTCAAGGTACTCAAGATTTGAGGTACTTGTAGTTTACTTGAGTATTCCCATTTAATGCCACTTTATACTTCTGCTTAGGTAAAGTTCAAGTACTTGAAAATGTAACTTAAGTACAGTGCTTAAGTAAATATGCGTAGCTATTTTATTACACACCGACTGATGATTTAATATACATAATGTATTTCATTCTACTGTACATACTCAATCAGTAAGTTTACAGTATGTACTGCATACGGCCTACTAAATGAATAACTAAGTGCCAATACCAGCAGACTGTTTACACTAAAGTACACTCAAGCAATGAGACTTCTCTGCATCGCATGATGGTTGAAAATTGCTAATCACAAATGTAAAACATTACCTCTTCCACTCAATTAACTATTTCTTCTATTTCTTGGGTGTATATTTGCCTTCATTTGACAGGACAGTACCGGGGAGAGATAAAGAGACGGGTATGACATGCAGCAAAGGCCCCAGGACTGGAATTAAACTCATTGCGGTTATATTGCATGTAAAATTGAAAAAATCCAAATTAAAAATGATTAAGTATTTTAGTGCTACATCTAAATCATTTGCCAGCATTCGTAATGATTTAATCCAAACGGTTCACTGTTGTAGACGTCTGCCTCGCAGAGTGCTTTTGTAAAGTCTGAAGAGCCGCAATGCATTTTGCGATTTCAGCAAACATCCGGGTATTTGTTGCATCCACAAGATCCACATTCTAACCTGCAATCACATGATCAGCTCTAAGCCAATCATATGGACACTGATGATGGTTTCAACACTCTATTCAACTTCCTTTTAAAGTCAAAATAAGAGCGCACTGTTACTCAAGATGACTTTTGGTGAAAGCGCAAATTTAGCTGGATGTGAATTATCAGGATCACTTTAGTCTGATACGAGCATGTTAGTTAAACATATGTCACGACCCGGCTCAAAAGGACGCAACATGAGGGAGACAAGACGAGTATAAAAGTAATAGACATTTATTGAAACTACCACTAACTAAATAAACAATCAAAACAAAGCAGCTTCCAGGTCCTCCAAACAGGAGGCAGGGAGGAGAGGCACAGAGAGGGACCACAGCCAAAGAAGAGAGGCAGCCTTTATAGCTGGGACCAACCCAAAGCTCAGGTGTCGCCCATCAGTGGACGATTAACATCCTGGAACACAACTGAGGAGAAAACAGGACACAGACCTCTGGTGGAAGGGAGGGGTCGTCACACCCCCCCGACATAAAAACATTGTTCCCACCAGGAATACTGACACTTGAATACAAACATTTCCAAATTTCATACTCACCGGTTGTGGTGCATCCCCCCAACCAATCTCCACTCTGCAACTCCAACATGTGGAGAAGCATTTAAGAGAGAGAGAGTGGAGACTGAAGGAGGGCCAGAGAGATTACACAGTGATACCGCACATGATTGGGAAGCAGGGTTTCTTTGGATGTGCCAGTTCATGCAATGAGCTGCATGAACGAGTGGTGAACTCCCAGAACTTTCATAATTACCAGCCAACAATGCACCGAACTGAACTATCATAAGCGCTAAGCTGTAGTAGCCTAAAGGTTCCTCTGACAGACGTGCAAAGAGGCAACCCAACTACAACTCAGCTCACCCAATCAAGGCACGAGTTGTAGCGCCTATGTTCCCGAAAACGGGCCAAGTTACCAACTTGCCTATCACCGCACAAACAGTTGTGCGGCAAACAGTTCACCACATCCCTCCTTTATTACCAACTTGCTTACCCTAATGAACCATTAAAAACCTACTGCACACTGTGCAGCAGCAGTCTTCAGGCTCCACCTGCAAGGTAACAGGGTCCAATACCCAGACATCCAACAGGCTGTGCAATGCTCTTATTACCGAGTCTTGAACTACCCAGAACATGACCATGATCACAAAAACCAGAATACGAAACATGCAGTGAGCAGGAAACACCAGCAACTAGCTTCCCTCAGTAAAACCAGGAACAGCTGCAAGCTTAGGACCAACCAATCCAACGCAAACCGGTCACCAACAAACAGTGTTCCAATAACTCCTCCACAGAAGCCAAACAGAGGAAACAACTTTTGACTGCCTGAACACAAAACAAACTGATCCGTACAGAATTTAACACCTAACAGCAAGAGCAGCCCTTGCACAGCTAACATCACTGCCGCCCTGTCCAGAGACTAAGTAAGCTCCCCCCTCTTCAGGTGCTACTTGTGGTGGGTACTTATGCACTAAAACCCGCAGGCCCGGTAAAGCAACCAGGAACTGGCCACCCACCTGCAGCCTCATACATGCCCCCGAGACAACTGCTCTTACCACGTTCACACCACACTACACAACTATAGACATTTATTTAAGAACAAATAACTGAACTACAAACAGACATGAGTCAGAGAGGAGAGCACCCCAAGCTAAAGAAGAGGGTCAGCCTTTATAGCTGGGACCTACAGCAGGCCCAGGTGTTGCTCATCACCAGCAGATTAACATCCTGAAAGACAACCTGAAAACAGGACACAGACCCCTGGTGGAAGGGAGGGGTCATCACACCACATAAGAAGAACAAGGAGTCACACAGGAAGTTAAGACTGAACATGCAGCTCTACTTTAGTGTCTGGATAGCATGCAGACACTGTCAAATAAATACACATATTTCTTAAAAAACTCACTTTTGTTTTCATTAAATCATAATTGTATAACTTAAGTGCAAGTGGTTGACACACTTAAGTTTAGATAAAAACACCTTTCCGGTTATTGGACCTTCGAGATACACTTGATAATATAACGGTAATAACTTCTGAAGTTCTTCTTCACTCAAACGCTTTATCATTATATAAAACCTGTAAGCAAGAACTCTAAGTTACAAACTACTTTGTATACATTTCCAAACATGTTGACAAGGCATCCTATAATAGAATGACATGTATCACCTGCATTAACGTG